AGCAGCCAGCTGAGCCGGGAGGCACAGCGTCCAGCCTCCACCTCTTTGCCACTGGAGGAACCACCCTCCAGCCACTGCCCTCCTCCTCCAGCCCCGCCGGCAGCGCTGTCCTCCCTAAAAAAACTCTGGGGGAAAGGGGGAAGCCAGAGGGAGCTTTGCACCACGGCGCCCGATATGCTTAAGACGGCCCTGCCCTCACCCCCTGCCAACCTCTGATTCCCTCCCCTTAGACCTCACCCAGCTGCCAGCTCCCTTCCCTTGGACCTCACCAACAACCCTCCTTGGCTCTCATCAACCCCCTCCCCCTTTACCTTGGACCAGCTATCCCTGAGAGAAGCCCAAGAAAAGACTTTCATTCTCTCCTTTGCTCACCCATTTTGCCAGCAGCAACTGCGATATGAAGGGTAAAAAGACTTTTCCTCCATTTCCCCCCAGGTGGCAGTCCCATCTGTCAGCAACCACACAAGCTGCAGCGTCATGACATACTTATGCAAATATGGGATAGTAAGATACATCTACAGGTGAGTCACATACGGTAATACAGAGTGGCTGGGGAAACCCAGCCAGGTAGGCAGGTTATTATTATTATTATTACTATTATTATTATTATTTATTAGGCTTTAGTTCTGAAGATTGCGGGTATATGAGCAAATTGCATATAGCCTAAATTACCTTTTTCTTGACTGGGGAGGGGAGGGGGAAGCGTTTCCGCTGGCTAACCTCACTCTTCCACATGTGATTGACTGGCAGAAGGAAGGAGGTGGGAGGCAGGCAGAGAGAGACACAGGCAGAAGAAAAAGGCTGAAATGGAGCTGCAGCCAAGTGCATAAAATTGAATTCACACAAGTAAAATGTGTTGATGATGCAACTTGACTGTATTTGTAGCTTCCATACATACATACTGAGAAACAACAGCAGAGCAACTAATGAGAAAACCTCCTGCATGAAAATGGGTTTCAGTACAAACTATCAATGCTCCCAGTGGGATGCAGATTAAGGAAATAAAACCCTTTGAGCCTTTGCTTATGTGAACTGATACGTAAGCTGCAAACCCACACACCAGAGATAGCCAACGTGGTGCCCTGAGATAGCTAACGTGGTGCTGAACAACTACTCTCATTGACCCCAGCCAGCATGGCCAATAACCTGGGATGATGGGAGTTGGAGTGTAGCAACATCAGGGGTGTATCATGTTGGCTCCCTGTGCTACTGTCCTCAAAGTAAACTTCCTGTACTATTGTCCTCACAGTAGGTCCCAATGGAGCTTACTTTGGGGCAGACATGTATAAAGCACTTGAAACATATTTGCATCCATTCAGCTCTATTATAAACAACCCTATACCAAGGCAATGAACAAGGAGGCAAGCTAATCACGTTCACAAGAGCGAGCCATTTTTAATTATATATTTTTAACAGGCAGAATGTGGGCAATTGCATTCAGGTCCACTCTTGCTGGAGCCTCCCGCTTATTTGAAGAGCCTGATAGGAACTTTATGAATCTGCACAATAATAATGAAAATCTCATTTCCTGCACTCCATGCAAGGTAGAGGTTCTGTAAGAACCACCCACCTTCCTCACAACCACCTCCTCCTATTTCAAAAGTTAGCAAAGATCAACATGGTGATAAGTTTGAAGATAATGAACTTTATGTTGCAGTTATTAGATTCATCCAGGAACTGGATCTCGCAATAAAAGCAGGAGTTGGTGGCACAATATTCACTGGTATATAATTAATCCTTACATAGTAATTGAAGATTGGATAACACATGCCAGCTGTAAGTGTACTCATCAGTAAATATGGTGTGCAGTTATTCATGTATCGAATAGCAGGGCTATTCATTTATTAAGCTTTTCACCAATAATATAGTTAAATTTAGATAGAATTGCATATCACTGACCTCTCCATATAAATGTCCTTATGAGCTATTGAAGCAAGTGAAAGCTAACTTCTTATCTAATAAACATTACTATTTTACTCCTTGGCTCGGTTCAGACAAGGAAGCTTCACTACAGCTTGATGTGATGAACAGCTATGGCTTGTGACCCACTGGGACACTGAAAATTAAAAACCATGATTTGAAGTAGGGATGTGCACATCTGTGCTATAGGATCCCACATTTTACCTCAAGGCTGTTTGCAACAAAAATGCATTCATTTTACACCAGCGTTCTCCTCCAAAATAAGGTATCTGATCTCATTTCGCATGTGCTGTTTGTTTGATAACTTACAGCATAATTATAGCCCATCCTTCCTCTAAATACAGTATTCAGTTTGAAAACAAGGTGGTAAAATATATGTTTTCTAGAGTCTGAGGTTTTACAAACATTTACCACATAATTTGGATGACATCCATGCAAAAGGGAACTTCGCTACTGAGCTTACGTCCCTTTACAAATAGCTGGTGTGTGAGTTCCAATTTGGATTGGTACCACAGTGGGGATGAGGGACTAACATTACTTCCATCTTATGCCATGGACCCAAACCAGCTCTTGTACACAAATATCCCATGCTAGCAATTTAAAGAAAACCTATGTGCACCAGGGCTGAAGACATAAAGGATGTTGGGTTCAGAACCCTCTTCCGCTGGTTTCAGTCACTGGAACCAAAGAGTAGTCTCCTTTCTGCTAGGAAAGGGTCAGTCTATCAGTCCTGATTTCTCTCTGTTTCTCATTTTACTGAACTTCGGTTCTCCACATTTCTGTTTAAAGTTCTTTTTATTTAAAAAAATCCCAATAATTCACCAACATTTAATGTGGATTTATCCAAATATACACGTTTTTTGCAAAGCATTTCTGCCTACTATAATGCATTTTTGTCATTTTCCCAATAATATTCATTTTATATAATATTCATAATATGGCACATTGGCACACATTTGCTTGGATGCAGAATCTCACTGCAAAATCCAGGGGAGCGTGAATTTCAAAGGGTGGCTGTGTACAGTGGTACCTCGGGTTAAGTACTTAATTCGTTCCGGAGGTCCGTTCTTAACCTGAAACTGTTCTTAACCTGAAGCACCACTTTAGCTAATGGGGCCTCCTGCTGCCGCCGCGCTGCCGGAGCACGATTTCTGTTCTCATCCTGAAGCAAAGTTCTTAACCCGAGGTACTATTTCTGGGTTAGCGGAGTCTGTAACCTGAAGCGTATGTAACCCGAGGTACCACTGTATTGTTTTGGGAAGTTCAAAGCAGGTAGGTTTGCCTTTTAATGCAAATGGGGATGAATTTCTTCCCTCTCCCTACCCAGGGCCACTTTCCCCTGCACCATTTCACCAGCTTTGTGGCCTTTGTGAGAGTTACCAAAACATCAGAGTAGACTGAAACTCCAAACACACACACACAGAGAGAGAGAGAGAGAGAGAGAGAGAGAGACTGCAGAGCTCACAGAAACAAAATTTCCAAAGTTAGCAATCCTAGTCTTATGTCCTAGGGTGGGAAAAAAGTGTCAGTTTCTAAATATTGACTATAGCTGAAAAACCATTGAAGGGGAAACGATTATCAGCAGAATGGATAAAAGCTATTTTTTCACCCTTGTCTTAAGTAAGAGGTTGGGGAAGAAGGGAAAGCTTTCTAACTGATTTTGTGCGGTTCAATATTTATTCATCTTCATTGATGTCTCTATCAATGCTGCTCCGTTTAAAAGTCAAAATTACAATATATGCAGATGAAGATATGAAAGCAAAGCTCTGTTCCCACCATCTTTTCCACTTTTGGTAGTAGGAGAGATTTCTTTTTTCCAGATAGCCGACAATTATTAAAATGATAGGTGAGAAAATACATAAGTTTAGCACATAGAACAGCACTTGCACTGGCAGACAGAGAATGTTAAGCCAGGCCAGTGAAATAATAATTTATTATTTATACCCCACCCATCTGACTGGGTTTCCCCAGCCACTCTGGGCGGCTTTCCTGTTCCCTAAACAGGGCTGCCTTCAGATGTCTTCTAAAAGTCAGATAGTAATGTTTATTTCCTTGACATCTGATGGGAGGGCGTTCCCGGGCTGGGCGCCACTACCGAGATAGCCCTCTGCCTGGTTCCCTGCTACTTCACTTCTCGCAGTAAGGGAAACGCCAGAAGGCCCTTGGTGCTGGACCTTAGGCTGAATGATGGAGGTGGAGACACTCCTTCAGGTATACTGAGCCAAGGACATTTAGGGCAAATTTTTTACTGAAAACAGTGGCTGATTGGTTGGTTGAAGGACCAAATGGTCCTTTAAATATCTCATAAGGCTCCTGCCTCTCAAAACTAGTTATCTATGTCACTATTGTCTACTGTCACAACACCTACAATGAATGACTCAGGTCAATGGGGTTTTTGATTCAATGGCCAATGCTGAGTTTTGCATTTTTGTCCCCTTCCGTAATTTGGGATGATGGGAGATCCTGGCATGAAAGGGTTAAATCTGCCATCCCACAAAGATAACCATTGCATAGGATCTATATAACCAGCCAGCCACCTTGTGCAGGTGCTTGATTGAAATTGAACAAGGTTGGAATGTGCTTAAAGCAAATTTCTGTCACAACAATCCAAATGTCTTTTCAACCTTCTGGTTGCATCTCAGCCTTTTTCTGGGTATCATCTCTAGTCTCACAAATCTCGGTGGCTCGTGTTGAAATCCTATCTCCTGTCATTTCAATACAGGCTCCTTCCCCTACATGTCTGTCTAAAGGATATCCTTCAGAAGGGAAGGCAAAAGCAATATGACAGCAACCTTCAATAAGCTTGCTGTGGTAAATAAAAAAAAAAACCATTCCAATCTATACAGAGCATCCTCCACCCCCACCCAGTTTACAGCAAAAAAAGCAGGTGTTTTCTTTATCTTTCATTCTGATATTTACTGTTCCCACCTGGTTGGTTATACGACTCTTCGCTATTTATCTACAAAATCAGATAGCTTCTGGACGATGGAATGCTACACTCCATTTTTGTACACAAAGAGAAATGGCTTTGGTTCTGCGTCAAGCTTTTCTGTCTTTTGGAGAACTATATATAAAGGACTCCCCACTTAGTTTTCCAACAATATAACTATGTTTCCCAGTTACTTGAACAAAGCACAATGTGCCCTCAAACTTATTCCAAGTGCCAGAAGCAGAAGAAAGAGACTGGATGCATATCTCCAAGCAATCCATAGTTCTCAAGGAACCCAACAGACATTTTTAAAGTGTATTGTAACAAACGCTTCTCACAACATCCTCACCTCTCTGTTTGAAGTTCTCTTTTTGTAATTTAAGATGTTTGCATTTGAATGTTTTATTGATTCCTCGCCTACCTCTGATATATATATAATACATTTCAAACCTTGAAAGCATGAAAAGAAAGGGGCCATAGCAGTAAGTGATCAAATAATAAGCACAAAACAAATAATGCTGTTTATCTACAGAATCAGATGGCTTCTGTATGACGGTACAGTACACCACTGGTAATAATGGTGAGTGACGTGCAAACACATCCCTGGCAATGGACCAGTGAGGAGAGGAAGGTTATCTTCATGGGGTTCAAAGAAAGCTGTTGTTGTAGCATATTCTTCAGAAGGAGTAAGGCAGGTTTCCCCAAGCTGCTGCACACCAGATACTGTGGACTAGGACTCCCAACATAAGCAATGTCAGAAGCTGCCTTATACAGACTCAGACCATTGGTCTGTCTAATTCAGTGTTGCCTACGTTGACTGGGAACAGCTCTCCAGGATTTCAGGCGGCCCTTCCTGGAGATGCTGAGAATTGAACCAGGAGCAGAGAAGATGCTCTACCACTGAGCTACTGCTAATACCTAACAGTTGGCCATGCTAGCTAGGGCTAAAAGGAGTTGTGGTCCAAAACATCTGGAAGGCACCAGGTTGCTGTAGGCGAGAGTAAAAGAACCATTAAGTTTATTTATTTAGCATTATTATTTAAATTTGCATGCTGATTTTCACATGCATATGCTCAAATCGTATATACACAAATAAATCTGCTTCTGAATTAAAGTAGGGATAGGTGACAAATCCAGACTATAATTACCTGAGACATGCCTCTCAAATGACTGGTGGATTCCTCTATTGCAGGGGGTTGGACTAGATGACAGTTGGTGTCATTTCCAACTCTACAATTCTATGATTCTATGATTCTATGATTCTATAGTTATATCTCGTCTTTCCATGGGAGCTCACATTTCTGTGGCTGCTGTGACACAGCTCTCATGGAAAAGCTATGGCCCTCCAGATATTCCTGGATGTCAACTCCCATCATGCTTCACCAGACATGGCCAAATGTGGCCCTCCAGATGTTTTGGGACTATAACTCCCATCATCCGTAGCTAACAGGACCAGTGGTCAGGAATGATAGGAATTGTTGTCCCAAAACATCTAGAGGGCCAAGTTTGGCCATGCCTGTGCTTGACCATTGGCCATGTGGTCAGGGGGTGATGGGAGCAATCACTAGAGGGCACTAGCTTCCCCAATGCTGGAGAAGTAAGACTGTTGTCTCTCCTTGTTGTCCTTCTGCCAGCAGGTGAAGTCTGTTTTATTCTCACACGCTTTGGAGAACTGACTGTTTTGGGGGTTTTTTTAGGAATTGCATCTTAATACTGCTGTGCTGTTTCTACTATCTGTAGTTTAATAATTTGCTTTTATATTGTTTTAATTCCATTATAGTTTAATTAACTATTCTTTGCTATATGTTTTCAGCTTTCTATGTTTTATCCATGTTCTTTTCACTTGTGTAAGCCACCTTGAGTCCTGGTCTGGGGAAAAGGCATGGTGGTAATAATTATAATTATAATTATAATTATAATAATGTAAAGGTAAAGGACCCCTGGACAGTTAAGTCCAGTCAAAGGTGACTATGGAGTTGCGGCACTCATCTTGCTTTCAGGCCAAGGAAGCTGTCATTTGTCCACAGACAGTTTTCTGGGTCATGTGGCCAGCATGACTAAACCACTACTGGCACACGGAGAACCGTGACGAGTGCCAGAGCGCACGGAAACGCTGTTTACCTTCCCGCTACAGCAGTACCCATTTATCTACTTGCACTGGCATGCTTTCGAACTGCTAGGATGGCAGGAGTTGGGACAGAGCAACGGGAGCTCACTCTGTCGCAGGGATTCGAACCGCCAACCTTCTGATCAGCAAGCCCAGGATGCTCAGTGGTTTAGACCACAGTGCCAGTGCAGCAATGAATAAGCAGTGTATTATCTCTAGGAAAAGGACAGATCTTTCACGTGCATGCATGCAAGTGGCTGAAGGAGGCAATTGTGGGTTTCTTGCTCAAGGTTCTGCTAAAACCTAAGGCCAATCTGACCCTGAAGTTCACCACAAAGTTTCCACCATGTGAAAGTCTAAGCCCTTCCTTTCCTGACCTAAACCACTTCCAAATGAAACAGAACTCCTGGCTCTCCACAAGCTTGTTTCAGCTTCAGTGCCTAGCCTTAATGAAAAGGAAACTGTTCTCCCTTTCACAGAACTGTACCAGAAGGATACAGCAGGGACACTGTTTTGATGTGATCGGCCATCTTATTTGACTCTCCATAGCTTCTCTCTGTGCTGTGCATCTCTCTTCCACTCACACATCTGTGGAAGCTCCTCATTTCTCCATGACTGCCCTACACACAAGCAGCCTCTTTGCCACTGCTGCGAGTTGGATTGTTGCCTTTATTTATTCGGTTCCTTTTTCTTTCCGAAGTATTGAAAAATGACTGCATGGGGTTGTCTTTTGTCCCGCTGTGATTGCTGCCTTTTTATAATTGCAGGACCCTGTCCCTCCTGAGCTAATTCCAAGTGCAGTTTAAACATTAATAGACCCAGATTTCCCTCTTCTTCCTAAAACAAGCATTTGGGTTCTTTTCTCCAAAAATGTTAGATAGTTAAAACAAATCCTGAAATCGAAGCCCAGGCAAAGTTGGTTAATATATCATTATGGGATTATTACAGCAATCAGAGCTTAGCTGATGCAACAATACAATAAGCTGTTCCTTGAAAATTGTAACTCCGTTCTATAACCTGAACAGCTCCAAAGTTTCCTTAGTTCAAGAAAAGTTTCTCTAATAATAATAATAACAATAATACCATTTCCTGCTACATCGGTGCAAAAGTTAGTTCTGTTATTATCAATGGGATCTGGTCATGTGAGTAACTATAAGACAATTTTGAGGAGAATTGGAGATGGGATTTATAGATTATATAGCAAAATGCTATTTTTTGTATTGTGCTTGATGTTATGCACGTTTTGAGACCCATGTCTCAGAAATGTTTATCTTTCACCTCAATATATGATTTGTTCTGCTAATGCCATTTGAAACCAGGTGGGAGAAAATTATATTCTGTACAGGGTTTCAACTGATTCCTTTCATTTGGTAACAGTCCTGCTTGGAAACCTCAGTGTGTGAACCATGTTGGGCCTCTATAATTAGATACTAACTATTGGCTTTTGCTGAGATAAATGCATAGGGACACAATTTATGAAATAGTGAGTGGTATTACAGTTGGACTTGGGATTAAGACCTCCTGTAGAGCTCCACAAATCATTATTCCTTCTCCAGTTTACTGAGGTTTCATTCTTCTGCAAATCATGGGATTTACGCAAAACAGATTTAGTGCTCATAGACAATGGCAGTTTCAAATTGTTGTATTTTCAAGAGACGAAACAGGCTAAATCTTGCAGCTTCATTCTCCTTGTGAGCAGTGTTTAAAGTACTGCATGGGACACTTCAAAAAGTTGATATAGCCAACATACTTTTTTATTAACCTTCTAAAGAGAGAGAGAGAGAGAGAGACTTCTTGTACATCATAGGAAAGTCCATTGGCATTGGCATTCAGCCCACAACCTGGAATAACTTCGCAATAATGCAGCTTCATTTTGAAATGTTCTTCATTAATGCAGATATTAATTGCTTGATCCAGACAGCACATCAAACTATGGTTTGTGCCATCCATAGTTTAGAACCCACTAGGGCTGTACCAAATTGACTTACATTTGGCTTCATTGGAGGGCCCTGAGTACTAGAACTATAAGCATGGAAAAACAGCTCTTTCTCCACTTTCTTTGCACCTTGCCTTATCTTCTACAACTCAACTCTGTTGTGTCCCCCCTTGCTCACCATTTCTCTAAACTAAAAAGCCCCAAATGTTGCAACCAGGGCTTTTTTCAGCCAGAACTTGCTGGAACTCAGTTCTGGCACCTCTCTGGTGGGTGCCATTTCCATTCTAAGAGAACAAAGGAGGTGTTTGTGGTGAGTTCCAGCACCCTTTTCCCTAGAAAAATAGCACTGGTTGTAACCCTTCTTCGCATACGGGAGTTGTTCCAACCCCTTGATCAGAAGTGGCAGGGGGAGAACCACTATGCTAGCTTCCCAGCAGGTGAGTCACTGTTGCTAACCAGGAGGGAGAGGGGAACTGTGAAGGTGCCAAGGAGGTTGGCGAGGGGTAAATGCACCACTAGAACCAATCCAGTGCTCCTGCCAATGCATTAGCACCGTGGCAACCCTTATTGGACAACAATTTGTATCCCATGGAATTCAGATAACACAGTAAAATACAAGAAATAAAAGTAGCAATAAAATACAATTTTAAAAACCAGGATGTCTATGGGCCACCTCCATGAAGCTCATGGACCACTGGTGGTCGAAGGACCACAGCAACCCCTGTTTTAGGTAGTCTGGCCCTCAAGTGATTAAGGCTTTGTACGCCAGCTTGAATCTAGCCTAGTAGCTAAATGGCAGCCAGTCCAATTCTTCAGCAGGGGTGTAATATGATTCTGCCCCAGGGAGCAGTTTAGCTACTGCATTGAGCACTAGCGGCAGGTTCCAGGCCAACTGAAAGGGCGGCCACACAGAGACTTGGGAAGTTATCAGCACATGGATGACAGTGGTCAGGCTGTCCTGGTCCAGAGACAGCTATCACAGTCTCATTAGGTAACGCTAGTAAGATACTTTGCTGATTTGGAACTCCATCTGCCTACAGAACTTGATCCACTAAGTTCTGTGAGTCTCCACCTCTGAGAGCACTTTTGTGAACAAGCACCAGCCAGCAAAAGGAATAGCTGACCCAGCTCAACATTGCACGCTCATTTTGTAAGCATAATAGAGAAAATCTTGGTCAAATCTCTCGGCTGCCGCGTGAACTTAGCTGGAATTTTGAAGCAATTAGATTTCATTTCCTCTAAGTTAGTTCAACACATTTTAAATGGTAAGTCGAAAAGTGCCACTTGAACTTAATGAGACCACATTTTGATAAGAGACTCTAGCGGGATAAGGAATCATCACAGTAATGCAAGCCAAGGTTTTGATTCCTGATTCATTAGGCAACACAGATAGGCTCGTTCCCAAAACAGAGTACAGATGCCAAGACTTTTATGCTTCTCTGGAGAATTTTATCTGTGAACTACTTCTGCTCAAGAAATCTGCCTTTGAAGCGGTAGAACAATTCTGAGTTTCCCTCCTCTGCTGTCAGACACTTTCACCATCCCTGTCTTTTCCCACAGGGGCTCCATGTCCCTTTGCAAATCCGTCTCCCAGTTGGCAGCCGATGGGCTGATACAAAGCCTTAATCTCCTGCCACTTTTTTCTTCAGCATGTGCTCTTCTGCCAACTGGCAGTCAAAGAACGAAAAAAGCAAATCTTCCAGATGGTTTCCAGTGCTAACTACCCAATCGTAGCCCACCAAACTTCCTCTTAAGACATATCTTCCAAGCATTATTCTAAGTTAGACCTTTGGCCCATAAAGCTGAGCTCAGTATTGTCTATACCAGGCATAGGCAAACTCGGCCCTTGAGATGTTTTGGGACTACAGTTTCCATCATCCTTGACCACTGGTCCTGTTAGCTAGGGATCATGGGAGTTGTAGTCCCAAAACATCTGGAGGGCCGAGTTTGCCTCTGCCTGGTCTATACTGACTGTTGGTGGTTCCTCAGGGTTCCAGCCTTTTCTAATCCTACCTGGGCAGATGCCAAGGATTGATTGTATTTGAAAATACTGTATTTGAAGCAGAAGGAAAATCTGTCTTAAGCCCTTAGCAGGCAATACATGTGTTCTACCAGTAAGTTGTTCTTCAGACTATCCCCATAAACTGGTAGAAATTAGAACGACAGATTCCT